GACTGAAGCCCCGCCCCTGACCCGGCGCCCTGGGGGTGCAGGGCACGGGCGTGCAGGCACGCGCCGCCCGCAGCACCTGCCTCGTCCCCGCTCCTCCCTGGCTAACAGGGCATCCGCTCGGCTCTCCCCAGGTTCTGGCGCAGGTGAAGTGGGGCTGGACGCCACGGCAGCTGACAGCCCAGCTGGTCTCCTCAGACCTGGTGTAGCAGGTGGACGTTGCCCGACAGGCCTACTTCCTTAGTTTCTTCTCATCGTTTGCTTGTTTTCTTGAAAGTGACACCAACATTTTTACGAACCCAATCAAAGCGTCGAATCTAAATGCTTCAGTTTCGCTCGGCCGGCTGGTTTACCAGTCCCTATCTGCACCCTGACTTGCAGCAAAGCTTAAAGAGCATTCAGGCCCTCCTATTTCAGGTTTCATGTTGTCAGATTTGTTGCTGTAGTGGCTCGGGCCAGTGAGGTCTGGGGCTGCGTCCCCAGCAGCTGCAGTTGGCAGGGCGCTGGGCTGGGCGGGGCTGCTGGGTCCTGACCTTCGACTGTGAGCTGAGCCCTGGTTTCCCTTGTTCCTCTTTCCTGGCCTGGACCTGGCCTTTTAAAGCACTCGTTTTGCAGAATTTTTTCTGATGTGAAAATACCACAGGCTCATGGGGGAAACTGTAGACTTTCCATGAAGGATGAAGAAGAGAAAACTGACCCCACCAAGCACGGCCCCCGTGTTAGACCTGACGTTCGTCTTTCCAGTCTTTTTCAAAGTCATGGTTAGAAAGGAAAACATGTGGTTGTGAACATACCTGACACACCATTTGTACTCTGCTGGCTTCGCTTTGCATCGTGTGAGCGATTTACCAAGTAATTGAGAAACTCTTTACAGCCTCATTTTTGACAGTTGCCTAATGAGAATTTTCATATGTTTTGAATAAATAACCGCCTGAATGCTACGAGGAGGACCACCTGTGCCCTGTGATCCCTGGGGAGGCCCAAGCCACCCACCCCTCTGGCTTTCTCTCTTTTTCAGTGTGCTTCTGACAGTGGTCCAGTCGTTGAGGGCAAGATTTCAAACACGGTCACGTGCTGGGGGAGATGCGAAGGCAGGCACTGCCTTCCGACTCACCTGGTGCGGAGTCTCCCAGGGCCCCCCGAGGAGGTGTTGTTGATGCCCGTTTCACAGAAAGGAAAATGGAGGGGTAGTCAGCATGAATAGCTTGTCCTGTTCTTGCAGCCATGGGGTGGAGCCGGGGTTTGGAGGCTCATGGTTTCCCCTGTTCTGTGTTGTCAAAAGTACCAGAGACCAAAGCTGCTTTTTTCTTTGACAAGATTGTGGCAGGAACACGAGATGCCTTTGCTGCAGGGTAACGTGGAGCTTCAGCTGTCCTCGGAGGGTGTGAGTAGGAGCCCCAGGAAAGGGGCTTCCCAGCCGGGACGTCATCCGGGCGGGACGCAGAAGGGTTGGGGGCTTCGAGGAGCCCGTCAGTGCCTCAGGTCTCAAGGAGGCCGTGAGGGGTTGGTGGGTGGCGGTGCACCCCCTGCCCCGAGCCCGCACGCCGTGACCGTGCTGAGCGGGGAACAAGCACCTTGTCTCTGTTGATCTCGAGGCTCATCTCTGTTGACGAGCTGCCTGGAGCTGGGAAGTGAGCTGAGGTCAGACCCTGAGTGGAAGGCGGCCAGGGATGCTAAGCAGTGACCTAGCTTTGGCTGGACAGTGAGGCCCACTCAGCAGAGGATGGTGTTCGGGAGGGGCCATGGCGGTGGCCGGAGCACAGGTGTCTGCAGGTGAGGTTTGGAGGAGTTCTTGGAGGTGCTTGGAGCGTGAGGGAGGCAGAGACACTCTCAGGAGTCCAGAGGCACGTGTGGAACATCCATCACAGCACAAAGCTGTCCCTGACAGAGCCCGGGGCCGGGCAGTTACGGCCCCACACCAGGCCCGGCACCCCCCGGGGTGGGTGGGGATACAGCCTCCAGGCACCTCAGGTGAAGGTCCCTCCAGCATGGCTGGCAGCCGGGGAAGAGGGCAGACAGGTTCTGACTTGTGTCTCCTCGGTGAGTCCCGTTGCACGGAGTCCCCGCATGGAGCAGGGGCTACAGGTTTAGCCATCGTTCCTTCCTCGTCACTGCCTGTTGAGCAGCCGGCTGAGTCCCTACCGTGTGCCAGCCACACACACTCCTTGGGCCGGAGTGGGGCTTTGAACCACAGCCAGAAGGGGGTGTGCAGGCAGCTGTGCCCTGTGCCCTCCAGCTGCAGCCCGGATGCCGGTTTTGGTGACTGTTCTCACGGCCGAGTGGGCTCTTCCCTGAGCCCCAGGCCTGCGTGCCCCTCCCGACCCCGGCCCGGTGTTCATGGCCGTGTTCCAGGGTCAGTCTCTCACTCTGGGCTCCTCACCTCCTGCTGGCCCGGCCTTGCTGCCCCACCGAGCGTGTTCGTCCTGGCCCTGGGCTGAGTGTGTGTCCTGTGAGGCCCTGTGTTCTCCCCTCCTGACACCCACGCTCTGGGCCTGGGGGCCATGTCTGGGGCCGTGTGAGTGGGGTGGGAGGCTCCCGGCGCCACAAGCAGACTGTGTCCAGGGCGCGGGTCCCGAGGAGACGGCGGGGCTGCGCCTGGCTCGACGTGACACCCATGTCAGGGAGGGGAGGGCGTGGGCTGAGGTTGGGGAGCCCACCGCGCTGTGTGCCCAGCCTGCAGCCCAGCAAGTTCGGAGAAGAGGAAGGACACTCGTGGGGAACTCCTGTGAGCTGGGAACACAATTCCCACCTTGTGTTGCTGGGGGGCCTGAACACGGTGGGGGTGCTGCAGCCTGCGTGCTGGGGGTGGGCTTTGGTGAGCGCTGGTGGAGGACTTAGCACCTGCCAGGGCCGGGCCCCCAGGGGCGCAGGCTGCCCCTGCCCCTGGGGACGCTGCAGTCTGGGGGACAGACCCACCAGCGGTTGATCTGGGACCTAAGTGCCTGGAGCACCAAGGAGCCTGCAGGGGGGCAGGCAGGGGGGTGACTGGGAGGATGTAGTCTCCAAAGGATGACCCCAGGGAGGAGCAGAGGCAGTGAGGGCTGCGCATGGCCAGCGGTCAGGAAGGGAGGAAGGCAGAGGTGGGTCTGCACAGCCCGACCCGGGCCCCAGAGGTGTGAGTCCCGGGGGTGACAGCCCTGCTGGGGCCTCTGCCTGCGGCTCCTGAGCCCTTTCAGAGGCTGGGATCTCCCCAGGGCCTCGAGGCTGCACTCGTCTCCGTGAAAACCCCTGGAAGCCTGGCATCGGGAGGGCACGTCTGTGCTTTGGCAGAGGTGGGTCCTGAGCAGGGCTGGGTCTGGGCCTGCAGGCCGCGTGGAGGCGGGGGTGGGCCACGTGCAGCAGGGACGTTGCTGCGGGGTCCTGAGAAGCCGCAGGTTTCAGCCCGCAGAGGTGCGGGGCCCGATGAAGGACCGGATGTCGGGGTGGGGTCCCAGGGCACCAGGTCTCTGGGATGCCCCCTGGAGGTCCCCTGGAGCCGTGACCTCTGGCTCTAGGGGCAGGCCGGGAGGTGGATACCAGAGCCCGGGGAGCAGCGCGGAGCGAGTGGCAGAGGTGGGGGCGTTTTGGACAAAGCAGTATCACGTATAAATGGGGTGTGAAGTCCCTGTGATGCACTGAATTATGCTCAGTGATGACTGAGCACTGCGCCTGTCGGCTGCACGTCGCTGAGGCAAGGCCTGGCCCAGTGGGAGGGGTGGAGGAGCCCCTCTCTCCTTCCTAAACCCAGAGGGGCCCGGGGGCTGGGAGCTGCAAGTCGGCCTGGCGCTTGGCCCCTGTGGGGCTGTCTCTGTCCAGGCGCTGCCTTCTGTGGTGGCCGCTGCCTGCAGTCCTGCTCCACGCTGGACGCCCGGTTTCCAAAATAGCTAAGCCTTGGCCTCTGGACCATGTCCTCGGAAGGGCGTTCCTTCCACCGCGGGGTGTCCTTTGCCTGGACGCCCGGCCCTGCAGCAACCAGAGCCTGGCCTGGGAAGGCCGAGGGCCGCCCCTCCCAGTCCAGGTGGTGGTTGGTCTGATGGTTTCCTGTAAGGTCCTCGTGGGTCACGTGCCACTGGGCTGTCCCTGCAGAGGCTGCGGACAGCAGGTGTCGGTCAGCTCTCACGGTCAAGGATGCGGGGTCCTTGCACCGGTCCTCTCTCGTCTGCTCAGATCTCCTGGTGTGAACTGGGCTTGCCCGCTGGCTCCTGCTCTCGGTGCTCAGGAGCTCCCCAGCTGATAGAGGACCCTGCCCTGCCGTCATCCCTGCACAGCCTGTGCACAGGGGCAGGAGCCGGTGGGAGAAGCTGCTGGGGCAGAGTGGGGAGTGGAGAGGGCCGGTGAGGTCATTGACCCTGAACTGAGGCTGAAGGCAGGAGTTCCTCCTGGGGTCCAGTGGGGAGATCCCGGGGATGAGGTGTGCGGAAGTCTGGAGGCTGGGCGCGGGAACGGGCAGGGGCCACAGACCCAGACGAAGGGGCCCTTCGGCTTTTTGCGGAAGGGACGGACCCGTCGCTGAGGTCCTCATCGCTGGACGCAGCTCACTGGGCATCATGGAAAGTCTCTGTGGCCTCAGAGAGAACGGCTGGAAGTGTTCACGGCTCACACTCGGGGACGAAGCAGGAACCACGAAGGCCAGAGGTGGCGGGCTGGGGTCGCGAGAGGAGGTGCGGCCAGTGTGGACGGGGCGGTGTCAGCGAGTGTGGCTGGTGAGGGGCCACTGGCCAGAGGCCTCGTGCGGCCAGGGTGATGTGTCTGGAGCAGCAGGGGCCCTGGGAGAGCGTGGCTGTGTACGCAGGGCTCACTGCTGGCGCACCATCCCCACAGAGGGTCTGCCGTCTGCGGTGTGGGTGAGGGAGGGCAGAGGAGGCAGCTTTGCAGGGATCTGCATCTAAGAAGAGGCTGGAGCATCTTAGACACCTGACGAAAAACTGACCCGACATTCTCTGCTGTCCGCAAGTCCCAGCAACTCTTGTCAGCCTTTTGGCTTGAGAAGAAATGAGTTGAAAATCATGTATCAGTTGCATGTGTCGCGCTGGTAAGAGTCTCTGCAAACTGCATGTGGCTTACATCCGTGAGAGGAGGGCTCTCGTGGGAGGTCGCAGGCGGCCCAGCGCCCCGGTTCCCGCACGTGCCGCCAGGCAGCTTCTCCCCGCTCAGCCGTCTCTGAAAAGGAGGCTCTGATTGTGCTGATCTGCTCAGGAGTCTCTCCTGTCCCCTCTCCTCCGCATTTTTTTTTTTGAGAACATGATTGTTTCTCCTACATGGAACTTTGTGATTTTCACCCCATGGGGGGATTTCTGATGTCTGTGAGGCTTTGCTATTACAGCAGGAAAGAGGGTGGAGCTGGAAGAGGGAGTTACAGTGGATGCAAAGAAAGGCAGACTTTTCTTTTGTGATGAAATCCTGGAAGAGATAAAATAACCTTATCCTGAGCCTGTGAGAATCAGACAGAGACAGAGCGGTGGGGAGGGGGGCGGTCTGGGGGCCTGAGCTGCTCACGGGCGAGAAGTCGAGCGTGGCTCACTTACTCACACGTGCACTTGGTGATT